CATCTAATTCTTCAGTTTTGTTTTTTGTTTTTTTCTGCTGAAGAGGGCTTCAGCCCCCCTTCGGCCCCCCCGGATTCGCCCTTGTACATGTCAGTCTGTAGAGTATGTTAGGTCTATCCCATGATGCAAAGTTTTTTTCTGGGTTCTCTGGTATTCCTCACTTCACAAAACCTAAAAACTAAATTTGATCAAGTTGAAAGTTTTGCCTTGGTTTCTCGTAATAGGATTTTTCACTTCAGAGTAGACGGTGAAAAGCCTTACAGGTTTTATGACCTAGTTCATAAGTCAGTAAATAAATCAAATTAGTACATAGAAGTTTTGTGGAGACAGGAAAACTGGATAACCTAAATATAAGAACCCTCAAAACACAGGAGATACAACAAACAATTCTACTACACACTGGTGACCAACACACACCACCTATGATTTTCCATGCTTAGTTTCTTCTACACTTTTAAGTCCAGAGGTTTATATCTGAGGATCGTCTGCCTCATCTGTTGTTCTATGGCCCCCCTGGAACTGGCAAAACATCTACTATACTTGCAGTTGCTAAGCAACTGTATCCTGATAAAGAGTTTAGCTCAATGGTTCTTGAGGTGAAGATAAGTTAGTTTGCATTTATTTTCTTAATATGCATAACACTGAACTGGGTATTCGTGGTAGAAAACATGCTACAGTCACACCTCCAAACTTCTATGACTCTACCCACAAATATCAATCTGTTAGTCTGTATTGCGTTCTCCATGTGTCTGCATCCTTTTGATAGTGGTAGAGAAGAAAATTATCAATGTTTTCCAAATTACCCTACAGTTATTAGATTCAGCCATGTTTTTAGTTTTTTTAAAATTTACACACAATCATCATGTACAAGACTATAGGTAAATGCAATATTAGTGTACAATTGTTTTAATGCTTTTAAGTCTTACATGTAGCTCTATCTTTTGCAAAGCAAGGGGAATATAGTTAATCATAAGTGCTTTTTTCTATTCCTTTAGTTGAATGCATCTGATGATAGAGGAATTGGTATTGTCAGAGGTTCTATACTCAGTTTTGCAAGTACCAGGACAATATTCAAGTGAGTGATGAGCAATAAAGAGTATGTTGTGTATTGGCATATTGAGATTGTAGTTAAAAAAACACTTATTATTGCCAATCACCATTGCACGTACTGCAGTGGTGCATGTGAAGGTCTTTTCTGGCAGCCACTGTACAGTCCATGCTTGACCCCAGAGTGCAGCTCTAACCAAAATTGAATTAGTTAGGATTGATTCGAGAGGAGGTGAAAAAAAAAGTATTCTTGACTTGAATCTTTTTAATGCAAGCTGCCACACCCTTAGATGGAATGTCAATGCCAAAGGAAAATCAGGAAATAGCCCCAAAAATAGCCTTTACCCTTAACCTTTTTACATCTAAAATGTTTATCCAAAATAATATAATATTTTGATAATTATTTGATTGTCTTATTATTCTTTGATGTTTGTAGGTCTGGATTTAAGTTGGTGATACTTGATGAAGCTGATGCAATGACAGATGATGCACAGAATGCTCTAAGGAGAGGTGCTTTAGATATCATTATTACACATTTTCCATTTTCTTCTCTGATTACATCTTTGATGCAGCTCTGTCATAATATAAGACGTATTATTTACAGGGCTTGAMGTTATGATTTAAAAGAAGGGTAATAGCTGCAGCTGGGTCCTCTAGGGATGAAAAGGCTAAGGATTTGAAAGTCATTCACCAACAACTGATCTATTCTGAAAACATACTCACCAGGACAAAAAAAGAAAAAAAATAATGGTACCATTGATGAAGACTTCATTAATTTTGAGCTCTGTATTACTAGTTCTGTTACTGTCATCTTACTCTAACTATGAACACTGGAGTTTATTTTTTTTATATACTTTTATTTTTTCTTTCTCTTTTATCATTTCTTCTCCTTCAATAGACTTTCAACACAAGTACATGTAACTCAAATTCTATTGTTTTTGATTTGTAGTCTGATTGGTTGACAAACTGGAGTGTTCACAGCTAGAGTAGAATGGCAACCAGTTGTTTCGCACAATTGCCTTTTTGCACGAACCCGTTCGCATGACTATGACCTGTTCGCACAATTCAAAGAGTAGTTTAGCACAACTTTAAAATACAGTATATGGTCACTAAGAAGTCGTGAAAATATCTTTCCTCTGTTCCTGTAGATGGGTTTTCATCCCCAATAATTCTGTTTCAAGACTTCATAAGCATCCGATTTGATTGAAAATTGCAGTAAAACCTGTCAATATGCAAATTCTTTTAAGATTTATAATATCTTTATATTTTTTTAGTGATGGAGAAGTTCACAGAAAATACCAGATTCTGTTTGATATGCAATTATTTGACCAAGATTATCCCAGCCCTGCAGTCCCGCTGCACACGGTTCAGGTTTGGTCCTCTGTCCTCAGACCAAATGATGACAAGAGTGGAACATGTTATTGAGAGTGAACGGTAAATACCTGTAGATAAGTACATGTATTCAGAATATTAAAATACTAACTGAAGGTACTATGGAAACGAGAGAGAGAGAGAGAATCAACACACTCTGCTCATTAGTTTCATTAGTGCTATGCGGTCCACATATTCTCATCTTTGCCTCACAATTACCGCTACCTAACATCTATTTCACCCCGGCCTGCTCTCAGTCTGACCTCTAGCTCAGCTGGTAGAGCATCGGTAGTACAATTCCRAAGGTCGTGGGTTTGATTCCCAGCGAGGTCGGAAATTAATTTTTCCGAATTTAATTCCAAGGGCTTTCAACCGGAATAACCTCGTTCCCAAGCACTATAACTTATCTATATTTCTATACACTCTGCTCATGTCATTTCAAGTCTATGTATCAAACCTGAGACCCCAGAGGTGAGAGGCGATTGTGCTTCTTTTTCACCCTTAGCAGTGAGGATCCAGGATTTAATAATGGTTCCAAAATTACCTCTATCTGGGTTCAAAATAGCACCTGGCTACTGGTTTTAGCTGGTAATTTCAGCACCTTTGCCAGAGATTTTCTAACCAAAAACAAAAATCCCTCCCTACTCTTCCCTTCCACAACAGTATTACAAGTAGACCATTCACATGGTCAGCAGTTTAAAAATAGTTTTTCTTGAAAGTAGCAGGCCAAAAAAAAAAAAAACAAAAACAAAACAAAAAAGAAAGTGCCACACCACAAAAGCCTGCAAATTTCAGCAATTTCTGAAAAATTACTTTAAACCCTATCAAAAAAAGTTTGCAGGATTGGCTTCACAAAAAGGGGGTTTTGATTTCAGGATCGACTTCACAGGATCTTACAAAGGGTATTCCATGGGACCATAATTGGATCCTCCACTGCTTAGCCCTACATGTATAGCTTCTTATGCAGACAATGTTTTTAAAAATCATTTATTTATTTTCATAGTTTTTGGTTTCTGAATTTACAATCTCATTTTTTTAAATATATACTTTATGTATAATATACTACAATAACAACAGCAACAACAAAAATGAAATGATAAATAAATAAAAACACATACATAAATAGATTGATAGGGTCACATATCCCCGTTGAACGTCCATGATTTTAACTGCTTTCAAGGGCTTGTCCTAAATCTTTCTCAAACTTCTTAAAAATATATTAACAGAGAGTGTTAAAGCTGTTGCTCTTTGCTTATAAATAAACATTTTATGCATTATGTAGACAATCTATTATTAATATCATTTTTTCTTATTTTATAGTGTAAATATCACAGATGATGGAAGACAGAGTTTAGTTAGACTAGCTAAAGGTGACATGAGAAGGGCACTCAATATACTACAGGTAAAACAGGATTGAAGCAGTCAAGGTTTTTATAAATATGCATACTCAATAAGTGCATATGGCTACTGTTATGAGGAATGATCATGATAGAAGAAAAAAATACTGTAGATAATGGGAAATGATAATGGGAAATAAAAAAATAGACAATGGGAAATGATAATGGGAAATAAAAAAATAGACAATGGGAAATGATAATGGGAAATAAAAAAAATAGATAATGGGAAATGGTTGATCTGAGTCTCATAGGAATTGCGAGAGTACATTAAATTTCAAATGCTGGGCTTCCTGTGGTGTTACTCACGGACTTGCAACTTGACGACATAGTGGCTTAGCCTATACAAGGCAGACGCCACAAACAAAGTTCTAAATTCCAATTAGATTCAGTGGAAATAATGCAACTCTGTGGAACCACTGCTAAATTCTATTGGTTTATTTATTTTCTATTTATTTTYCCATTCCTTTGTTTTCACATTGATTGTTGCTTTCCCTTTTAAAATATTGTCTTTCATGTATTACACATTTATTAGGGGCTGTTCAAAATTTACGTCTTGGGGTGGGCTGGAAGAAAAACAGGAAAAAATCGCATTCCCTCTTACACTCTTCAAATTTTTTTCAAGGCCTCCCCCCCCCCCCCCCCCCACCCCTCATGCCCTCCCAAAAATTTAACCCCCCTCTCTACCATCACTTACACTTATAATACTGAAATACATGCAATGAATTATTGGTTCAAATGTCACCATACGAGTTCAACATACACATGAGTAGGAGCAGGTCAATGAAACGAGTGGTTTTTCATCCACTGAAATTCCAACTGGAATTTAGAAGTTGATTCTTGAGGATGGAGCTGGAAAACCAGAGAACCTGGAGAAAAACTCTGAAAGCACAGAAGAGAACCAAAAGACAAATCTACTCACATGACACTGGGCTTGATGGGACTTGAACCCACAATCTTGGACAAAAAGAGTTGAGAAAATTTCATTTCATCATTAAATTGCACAATTTTCCTTTAAAAATTGGATCATCGTACCCCCTCCCCCCCCAGGACAATGTTGGTCCCATCAGGTAAAGCAGTGCTCTCTCCATGGCAACAACATTGTTTGGGGGGGGGGGTCGTTTTAAGGAAACATTTTCCTGTTTTTCATAAAAACATTCATTAAAAAAAAAAAATTCTCAACATTTTTGTTCAAGATTGCAGGTTGCATTGGTGAGAGGCAAGTGCTCTGTGCTACGCTGACCACGCTTCCCTTATATTCCCTGATTTTAACCACCTAGTCATCCCACTTTTTAGGGTGCTTTTTCATAGTCTTGATGCACTCCTCTTATCCTTTTATTTCCTGTCACAGAGTACATCACTGGCTTTTGATGTTGTAAATGAGGTCAATGTTTATCTCTGCACTGGTCAGCCCTTGCGCTCAGATATCTCCAAGATCGTTGAGTGGATGCTGAATGAGGATTTTGCCACTGCTTATAACAGTATCCTTTATAATTATTACAAAGCCATTGAATGAACAAAGGTTTCAAATCGAGGTCGTAGTAGATGTTTTATTACGCTTACTATATTCTGTTACCCCAGCCTCGATTTGAAACCCTTGTTTCATTTTAATCTAAGCAATTTGATCACAGCAAGCCGGGAAAAAAAMCCCAACTCTACCCTGCTACCTTATACGAAGGAATGTATGTACATTCAAATACAGTTTTTTTCAAAAAGGCTGGTAAAGGCTTTGTTGCTTGAAAGCTTGAAATATATGATATTCATATGTAAATAATCTCAGCACAGAAGAAAATAAACCGGAAAAATGCACAGAAAAAAGGTTTGGTAAAGTTATATATTGTTGTCATGACATTTCGCTGATTGCATTCCATTCTCCCATAGTGCATCTCGGGCTTGTTATTCAACATGCATCATAGCTTTCCCCAACCTACAGTGCATTTTGAAATACGTGTAGCTGTTTGGTAACAATATGCCAAGTAATTTTTGTGGTAGCCTGTTTACGGGCTTACTAAGTTTATATACATTTGGGGATAAATAAGTCGATTCAAATATAAAATCGAGTTTCGCACAAAGGCATTTAGTTATCCAATCTTAATATTATTAAGATATAATGAAGTTAAAAACCCTGAAAGGCCTTGCATTACAAGACATCCTTACAGAAGTACATACCTATGTTCATAGAGGTAAGATATGAGATTCACAAAAACCGCTTTCTTATTGTTTGCCGGATTGCCCGTGGTATATATGAATTAGGAATATAAAATGGCGCGCGTGTCTATATACTGTGATATAAACACTCTGGGAGCTGTAGAGCACTCGAGAAGTCAATGAAACACTCGGGTACGCCTCGTGTTTCTCTACGACTTCTCTCTTGCTCTACATCTCCCATCGTGCTTATATCACAGTACATAGACACAAGCGGACGTTTTATATCACTTTTATAAAATATTTTTGAATGATTTCGCGCGTGCGTGTCTCTGTCTTCTGATATAAATACGGTAGCCAGCCAATCAGCGCGCGCGTTACATCTCAAATATTTTATAAATCTACGTACTACATTATAGACTGGTCTTACCCTACTTGACAACCAAACTTAGAGGACGGTGAAACCGGCTTATTACGTGGCCCCTCCGGGATTGCGCGCTCTCTTTTAATCTTTGGACTGAACAAAGAAAGTTGGTTTCGTGTGGGAAAGTCGTACCGAACAACATTCACCCCGCAAGAGTTTTGCGGACAAGTTGCACAATTTTTTGGCCAGTATTATTGCATTTGTCGTTCAGTAATAAAATTTAAATTACCTATACTCCAAGTCAGGCTTTTTGTCTGTTCATACATGTACATAGATGATTGATTAGCTCAGAGGCTGTTCTAGGATTCGATAGAATTGAATTTTGTATTTTTCGTTTTGCTTTAAAGTTGTTATAAGTATATTATTAAAGTTATTATTATTTTTAGTGGATTTTCCTGCCAAAGTACGGATATACTTGCTGGAGAAAATGGCCGATGTCGAGTGAGTAGTATTTTTTATGAACTTTATACTTCAGTTTTAAAATGCTATATTCGTTGCTCGTTATCTCCACCAGAGAATTGGTTAGTTTCTTGTTTCTGTATAACTGCTGAAGATTCAGTTGCTTACAAACGCTAGATATTGTTATAGTCTTTAACATGTAAAAAAAAGAAGAGCGTCGGTCTGTTGTGCGGGAGGTCGTGGTTCAAGCCTCGGCCGGACCAACACTAGCACTCGGGGTCTTAGAATAACTTAGTTCAAGGTTACATCTGCAAATGGTTAGACTATGACAAGGTTAGTCTTCTCGGAAAAGGACTTACATAGTCTTATAAAGATGGTCTTCACTATATGACCCTGTATAAGGCGGACGTAAAAGACCCACTAAAGACGCTGGTGACGACCATCAGTGCCCGGGCTAATACTACAGGCCCCACAGTAATTGGCTATGCTGTTGTGGTGTCCATGCCTCATGGAAGAAAATCATAAATCAAATCATTCTCTTGAGTAAGATTGTTGGATCCATATTAGTAGATATGAAATGAGAGTTCTACGCCATGTGGATCGTGGATCATGTGGATCGTGGATCAACCCCCCCACCC